ATTTTACAAAGGGTCATTGAAGTTGTGTGAAATGCTAAAAGCACTCCCAGCAGAGCAGAATTAGTAGCCAGAGAGCTGTCAATATTATGAAATAAATACTGTATATTCAATGAATTCAAGTAAGAGAAAGAAATACTCCACCGTGTTGTACTTCATGTGTACAAGGTCCATTGCCATCCTCCAAATGCTCATTAGAAGACATACTCCTGTATGTGTACACAATGGCTATAGCTGAGCTTTATCTGTTACAATGCCATGTAACCAGCCCAGAAGCCCTCTGTGAAAGCACATGGAAACTACTGTTACACTTGTAACTCCTATAATATAGATCTCTGACAGAAAAAGTTTAGGGGGAGAGAGGAGAGATCAGAAACAAAAAAGCGAAACCCAAACAAAAAAAAAGACAACGAAACCCATCCAAGCCAGAGCAATGCAGTAGCAAAGGGCTGATTGAACCATCTGTTGATGGCAGAAATCATTGTGCAACTTCAGTATGGACACCTAACTTGACTGAGACTAGATCATTCTGGATGAAATTTTCTAAATTGTCTTTTATACACTTGGTTCCCCCTTTAAAGGAACGTGATAACCCCAGATGGTGGTGACATGCTATTTCTTGTTTTAGTTAAACTCCTCCATTCATTATTGATAAACAAGTGCAGTTGGAGATGTGCTCAGCTTGTCGTCTACATTTCCTTTTTTTCCCATTTTTATTGAATGCCATTTCCTCCGTAATGGCTTAGCTCTTTGCTAGGTTTCTTATTTATCCCAGTGCTTGACTCTCCCTCTGAAGTGGAACCATGCTTGGGTTCAGAGCTCTATTAGGATGACAGAGGGTTCCCCTCTTCCCTGTGTATTTAAAGTATTGACAAGGTAGTGAAGTTTTATTACTTAAATAGTGAAGGTCATGGTTGAAGCTGAGTGGATGCCAGTGATATCAGGAGTTACAGTGTTGTGGTTTAACCCCAGCCAGCAGCCAAGAAACATGCAGCCACTTACACTCCCTCCTCCCTCCCCCTCTTCCCCCTCCCAACCCAGAGGAGAACAAGTAAAGTAAAATATGTAGGTTGAGATAAGAACAGTTTAATAATAATAAAGAGTAGAATGAGCTAAAATGCTAATGGATAATCGAAAGAACAAAATCAGTGATGCGCAATACAATTGCTCACCATCCGCAGACCAGCGCAACGCCGAACCTCCCCTCGGATCGGCCCCTTCCAGCTTATATACTGGGCATGAAGTGCCATGGGGGGGCATATCCCTTGGGCTCACCTGTCTCAGCTATGTTCCCTCCCATTTTCCTGTGTACCTTCTCACTGGCAGAGCATAAGACACAAGAAAGAAAATGTCCTTGGTTTAGGATAAACACAACTTAGCAAAACCAAAACATCAGTGTGCTATCAACAGTATTATCACTTTGAATCCAAACATTGCACTACACTAGCTACTGAAAAAATTAACTCCATCCTGGCTACAACCAGGACATACAGTTAATAGGGCGTCTGTTAAGAGGTGTAGGTTGCTGATATGAATTTTAATGGTATAGTTGGATTTTGTGTCCGTATTTGCCCTTTAACAAGGGCTGTGCTCTGGAATGAGGCCTTTGGAAATTTTGACATATAAATATTCAGATTCCCACCCTGAAGTCTTTGGTGGCTAAAGAGAAGACTGTGCCTGTCTTTGATTAAGTGCAATAGCAGCCTCTTGGAATCTACAATCTTTAGTCTTTGGCTAATTTTTTCCAAGAGCTGGAGATGCTTCTTGCATGCATCAGGACTGTGGTTCACACATTCTGTGGGCAGCATGAGAACTACATCTTATTGGATAGTTTCTGAAGAATTTTTTTTTTCATTTCATTTCACTGGAACTTGTCTGCTTTTCCAATAGAAAATGTTTCAGAGAACCATGTTCCTTTCATGGACAATCAGCTAGAAACCTGGCAGATTGCAGGACTCTGTCCTGCCTGTGAAAAATGTGGGTGCCAGTAGCCTGCAGGTACCATAAAAGAGGGCTGCCCTTGGCTATGCTCTCTCCAGGCAGACCTGGAGCCCTATCAGCAAAACCTCAATGAACCCGAATATCCTCTGGGCTTGTGAACTCTCCTTGAAAATACAGCAATGAACCAATGGATATGATATTCTGGGACATCAAGACCATCCTAATTTTCATGGATAGTCATATCTCTCCTTCCATAATCAAGCTCTACCTACAGCTAGGTAGCTTTTTGGTACCCGTTACTCCTGTTCCAAGAAGTTAAGTATATGGGAGGCCTTCAAGTGCCCTCTCCCAAAGCCATTTCTTTGATTAGTTCTATTCTCTACTTGAGAAATTTGATCTTTACATTTCAGAAAGTGCCTGATGAAAACTGTACAGAGTGTTCCAGACAAGGTCACTGTGGGGCTGTGTATAATTATCAT